CCACGGATGATCTCTCCCAGCGGCTTCACATAAATATTGAACAAAAGGGGAGAGAGGACCGACCCTTGTGGGACCCCGCAAGTGAGGGGCCTTGGGGTCGACCTCTGTCCCCCTGCCAATACAGACTGCGTACGGTCGGTGAGGAAGGAGGAGAACCACCGCATAACAGTGCCTCCCACTCCCAACCCACTCAACCGTCACAGCATGATGCCGTGGTCTACGGTATCAAAAGCCGCCGAGAGGTCCAAAAGAACAAGGACAGAGGAATAACCCCTGTCCCGGGCCCTCCAGAGATCATTTACCAACGTGACCAATGCTGTTTCCGTGCTGTATCCCGGCCTGAAGCCCGACTGGAGCGGGTCTAGAAGAATAATAAAGTGCTAGTCCTTTCTTAATGATCTTTTATTTCCTGTGAAGGTCTGTTAGTTTGACAATCCTTGGCCTGTCTTTCACAGTGGGATTGCTAATTTCACTTTTTGAATCTTTAATGACACATCCTAATTAAGAATGGGAGATGGATTAGTCCAGGGGTGTCAAACTGCCGGCCCGCGGGCTGGTTGCATCATACAGAGGCCGCGCCCACCCCAGCTCTGGCAATGCAAAAAAAGTCGTGATATGTCATGACACATCACGTGATATGGCAAGTTTGACACCTGTGGATTAGTCTGTCTCTTGCCAAGACAATTTGGCCACCATCCACACCTACTTGCAAAGCTCCAAAACTTCAGTACTGTCTCATTCAACTGCAGATTATTGTATCCCTCCATTCTGCGCATTGCTTAGGAGATAAATTCTTCCATCTTTCTTCAACCAAGGTGTAGGCTTGTCCATGCTGTGATTCATGAGCAAGAAGCATCAGCATGTTTTTGAGTTGAACATTTTCAGAACAGGCAGAAACCTATGTTTCCACCACTCTGTTAATGTAGAATGGTATGACTCGAGAAGGAAGGAAAGCAAAGTTGAATGATTCTCTTGGTTAAAGTCCTCACTCCATACTACAGGTAATCCTCGACTTACAACTGGTCATTTAAGAAAAGCTTGAAAGTGCAATGGCCTCAGAAAGGATGCTTGGAGGGGAGAGGAAATCCTGTGGTGACAACAGAATTGAAGCTTGGATCTTTGGGATTTAAGTTTTTTTTTTCTGCAGCCCACACACTAGTTCCATTACTTGCATGGAAGGGAGGGAAAATACTGCAATGGGCTGCAGAAAGATCCTTCTTTGGTAGGCAACTCTTTTAGTCTGTCTGCTTAACAACCAGTGTGATTGTTTAACAACTGCAACTGGGAGAGCCTGGATTGTAGTCTCTGAACGTCATGTAGGTTTCTCTGCTTCCCTCAACATCTGAGATTCCAGTCATAATTGTGGTCATAAGTGAGGACTTTCTGTATTTTGGATTATCTTAGTCCTGGTACTGGTTTCAACAAAATTCAGGTACAGTAAAATAATCATCCCCACATAGGTTCCAATACTTTGGAGGAGAAATAAGGTACAGATGTGATAACTTCTCCTCTCCTCAAGTCTTGAGAGTATCACTGTTAGAAAGATGTCATACGTCAAATACTATATATTTATCATAACCAGGTCTCTTGAGTATTGGTTTACTTTCTCTTTTATACCTCAGGCCTTCCCTCTAGAAGATCTGGAGCATGTTTCCAATAAAGATGATATGAAAACATCTCTCAGGAAAGTGACAAAAGAGGTGAAACTTTAAAGCAAATTCTCATTGCTTAAATATTTTTTTATTTGGAAAGACTATATATTTTAACAAATAATTTAAGAAGTTCAATATGAATATTATATCCCCAAATCTTCTCTTTTCCAGTGTGATTAAGCCTAATTTGAAAAAAATTCTCAGAACTTTATAAGGTGGGAAAGATTATGTAAATAGTGTAAAATTAAGGATGCTAAGATTTCTCTTACTAAACTATTCTAATGCTAAATACTAAAAATGCTAATATGTTTTCCTCTAATTATTTTTAATAGATGTAACCTTGAGATTACTAAAAGTGGGACCAATCTTTTAGCATTCAGGAAGTTTAAAAATGAACTAACACTTTAAAATGTTCCTGTAATGCACAGATCAAAACTGAAATATTTCTCAAACTTAATATGGTTTGATTCCTTTTTTCTCTTTCAACTTACCCCATCATATGTTTGCTGCCTGGGTACTTTGGGGTTCTCTTTGTCATCTTTGCGGCCTCTTTTTACAGGTAGTCCTGAAGTTATGATCATTCATTCAATGACCATTCAAACTTACAGTGCTGAATAAATAGTACTTATGCTCAGTCCCCAAGGTTACGGCCATTGCAATGCTCTTCCTAGCATGTGATCAAAATTCAGGCACTTGGCAGTTCATTCCCTCATTTGCACTTCCCGCTAAGGCAGTGGTTCTCAACCTTTTTAATGCCATGACCCCAACCGGTCATAAGTCGAGGACTAAACCGGTCGTAAGTCGAGGACTAAACCGGTCGTAAGTCGAGGACTAAACCGGTCGTAAGTCGAGGACTTTCCCTGCCCGGGAGCGCTGCGCATGCGTGGTTCCGCCCCCTGCGCCGGCCGAGGCGTAGCTGGCAAGCGGCAGAGACGGAGCAGGCCGACCACCAGCTGGCCCAGCCCAAGGGAGATAAGCCACCCGCCGGAAAAGGGGAAAAAATGGCGGACAAAAAAAATGGCGGACAGCCTTGCTTGGCGACCCCCATGAAATGGTCGATCGACCCCAAATGGGGTCCCGACCCACAGGTTGAGAACCACTGCACTAAGGGGATGCTTCAACTCCCCCCACCCACTTGTTTCCCCCCTCCCATGTTCAGCCTTTTGGCCCCCTGTATTCAGCAGCCCCAGCCACTCTGTGCTCTGTGCTAACCTCTGCCTTGCTACTCCTGCTGCTAATCCAAGCACTCCCAGGCTGCTGCTGTCTGCATAAAGTCATGTGCAGCCATTTCCTTGTGTGAAACCTGGAGAAGAAGGCTTATGCGGCCATTACCTGCCTCACAAAGGGCCGGGCCAGGCATACTGCATCAGCAGTGAAAACAAGACAATGGCAAAGGACACCTGGGTGGTGGAGTGCAGAGTAGCACTCTGAGTGCAGAAAGCCAAGGCCAGCTGGGACTGGGTAGGGATTTTCTGGGGCAGCTGGGGCTGAGCCAGGCAGGAGCAGCTGGGGCTTCCTGGACAGCGATAGCTTTGCATTGTGCTGCTGGCCTGAGCTGGGGCAACCACAGCTTTGCACTGCATTGCAGCTCTAGAGACTTCTTGCAGCCCTAGAGTCATGTTGTGCCAAGAAACTCCTGAGCCGTGCAGTTATGGAACTATTTACCATCCCAGTAGGCAGGGTGCAGGGTGGCCAAAAGGGCATAATGGACAGTTGAAGGGGGTTGAAAGGTAGGCACTCCCTTATCTTGGAAAAACAGAGGCTCAGTGCTGGGAGCGACCAAGCCAGGAATGGCTTGGAGTGGGATGGGTCCTCCACTAATGATCGGTGGAATTTGGCAAAAGGGAGTGCTGGGATTGCAGTTTCAAAGCAACTTGGCACTAAGCGCCACATGACATCAAGCTTTATGACCATATTGATTAGCAATGTACATTCAGGTCCTGGTTACCATCATAACTCAAGGACTATGTATCTGAATAATATACAATATATGACAGTCCTTTAGAGCAATAGCATAAGACATAGAGAATGACTTAGAGTAGCAGAGAAAGTATATTACTATATTCCGTGTTATCCAGCAAATATTTTTTTCAAATAAGAAACTAAGATAATTAAAATAACAAGTTTCTCATTATGGTGTACTGGTTGTGAGATGATTTGCTTAAGGTAAAAAAAGTGCTCTATTTTCATATTTTATCAGACTTGCCATGAGATGACGATGCAATGTGTATCCCGAATTATTTCTCATCCACTTCATGGTGAGTTATGGAATCTGCTCTTGTCAAGTCCCATCTCCATTTAAACATTCATTTTGTGGTCTTTTCCCTATAAAATTATAAAAAAATTAATTAAAATTTATTTTATTTACATAAGTATTTGCACATTTTCTCACTTTACTATGACCAATTTTCAGTTGATTCTGAGCTAAATCAGTGGTTATCTGTCATGGACAGTTGAAACATTGTATTCAACCTCAGCATAAATTATTTGGACATGAAATGGATTTAGACTACCTCTCCTTTTCATTCAGAAGGGTCTATCCTGAAGTGGGATCACATCTGATGAAGTCCACATGAGGTGTTTTGGCATCAGAATCTTTTGCCCTGAGAAGGTTTTGCACACCTTTGGTTATCTTGTCCATATATTACCATAGTTACCTCATAAGATGACACCCTACCCCACCACACTAATCAGCTGTAATTGAGTAGAACTGAAAACAAAGGAATTGGCAGAACATACAAATAACTAGATTTTTTTTTTCAAAAAGTTTACATGCCTTGAAGATTAGTCTGAGCTTACAAAAAGGTCTTTTTTGCCTGATATATTTGTTTTTAAAACTTTGCCTTCTCTTCTTCCCTTCTCTGTCCACTTAACTTCCACCTTCCTGGTGCTATTCCCCTTCCCTTCTTCTTCATATCCCTTCTGTTTTGCTGTTTTTACTGGAAGCAAGGAGGTGTGTGAGTTTGTAGGCATGTGTGTGAAAGGAGTTTGAGTGTGTAATGGTTTTATATGCAGCTGGGAAACTTACCGATTTTATAATCAGGTGTCCTGCTTTACAGACAATACTATAATAACTTGTTAAAATTTGTTGAAAAATGTAGGCATTTCACAGGATTTTTGTCTGTTGGTATATGTTTTGTTGCTATCTATTTTTCCTGTGGTAAACTATCCTTAAATTCAGAGTCATCTTCGTATTTATAAATATTATATTTTTAATATCAAAAGAAGTAAGGCTCTGAATTCCAGGTCTCTGGGAATACAAGGCGTTGTTACTACTTTTGCAGATAATTGTTTTAAGTTCCCAATAATCATCTGATAGATCTCTGTGGGAAGACAATTCTGAATTCCAGAGACCTGTAGAGTATTACAGTTGAAACTCCTTTTGCTATTATGAATCAGTCAATTTTGGGATATTTTCTCAGTATAAAGATATGTAAGTGAACTACTTCTATATTCATATCTCTTGTTTTTTTCTTCTGAAGTAATATCTATGCGCTGTATGGTCCAGTTTGTAGGACGAGAAGTGAAGTACAGGTGAGATCTTCTTAAGATTTTATAGCTCAATCTGAGAATAATAACAAGGAGATTTATAGTATTGCACTGGCTAGTAGTAATAAAAATATTTGATCAATATCAATAATTATTTCTAAGAAATATATATGTTTCTTTTCCTGTTGTTAAAGAATACTGGCAGCAATGCGGTAACTTACTTAGGCTGAAGAGGTGTAAGAGAGCACTTTGACCCAGATCTAATGGTTTTCCTTTGTCAACAGCAATATTATTAGCTCAGTCAAGACAATTTGGAAAGAAGAAGGACTCTTGGGATTCTTTGTGTAAGTAAGTCTTGCTGTAACTTAAGTAACTTGCTGTGTTGTTGTTGAGGATCATGTCTCACACCACTGAGAAGAATCAGCTCTTGTTCAGAACAATCAGCTTTCCTTAACTGTTATAATTCAGTTCAAAGTTCAGAATTGTTTATTAAAAGTGTATTACATGTGCTAATACCTTTTGGCATTATATAAAAGAGAGAAAGAGATAATACTTGACAATTTCTTGTTTCTCATGGTCAGTCACAATTCAGGTTTCACATAAAAATAACGATCTCTCATAAAATAATTGGACTTGGGACTTTCCCCTTCATTAAGTTCCTGGATATATTTTTGAAGAATTGCAAAACCTGTTCAAGCGCAATGAATTATTAGGACTGATTCAAACTGGGAGATTATTAATCTGTTTCTGCAGTTACATTTTAATCAGTGCTAAATTTAACTTTTTTACTTAATGATATATCGTATAAATCGGTAAAGATTTTTTGAATTAGAAAATAGACATCACTGTATAAATTAGGAATACGGTCAAACTATACATTTTCTGATCACCTGTTAAGATTTGCATCTCATATGATTGGCTTTTTCTTAAGATTCTAAAAAAAAACTCTTAAGAGATTCTACTTTAAATTTTCTAAATGGCCCCAATCCTTTCTCTAACAACAGAAAATTTTTAAAATATTATATAATACAATAAATGAAGTGAGAGATCCGGGTTGTTGTAGAGCAGTGTTTCTCAACCTTGACCATTTTAAGGCATGTGGACTTCAACTCTCAGAATTCCACAGCCAGCATTGCTGGCTGTGGAATTCTGGGAGTTGAAGTCCACATGCCTTAAAATGGTCACGGTTGAGAAACACTGTTGTAGAGCTTAAGGCACAAAGCCAGTTGGGTGGCCTTGGGCTAATCGCTCTCTCTCAGTTCTTGGAAGGAGGCAATACAAACCACTTCCAAAATCTTGCAAACAGAAATGAGCAACTTTTAAATAGTACACTGGTAGCTTTCTTCCAATAATCAAATGAAACCAGAGCAAAATAGTATCTAGAACCAAGACAAATATTAGATATTTAATTTATAAGGAATTACAGTATTAAAAGATGACATTGCTATTGTTCACTTCCTTAATAATTCCCCTTCTATTCATTTCCTATCACATTATCACTGTTGGAAAGTCTTTTGAGAGAATATAAATACTCAGGAACATGCCAACCTAAATGGTAATATGCTGTATATTCCATAAAAACTAGGGCATTTTAACCTGCAAACAGTTTGCATACCTGGAAGCTAATTTCCAGGAATTTTTTTCTGGAAAGATGAAAGGCATAAAGAAGATAATAATCTATCTCATAGCTAGTGAGTTTTTACATTGGCAGAATGCAATATGAAAAAGGGTCTTTTCATCCACTGTATCCTGCCTGGCACAGAGTAGCCAGCAAAGGGGTAACAAAGGGGATGATTAGGGGACTGGAGGCTAAAGCATATAAGGAACGGCTGCTGGAATTGGGTATGTCTAGTTTAATGAAGAGAAGGACGAGGGGGGACATGATAGCAGTGTTCCAATATCTCAGGGGTTGCCATAAAGAAGAGGGAGTCAAGCTATTTTCCAAAGCGCCTGGAGGCAGGACAAGAAGCAACGGGTGGAAACTAATCNAGAACAATTAACCAGTGGAACAACCTGCCTCCAGAAGCGGTGAATGCTCCAACACTGGAAGTTTTTAAGAAGAGACTGGACAGCCATTTGTTTGAAATGGTATAGGGTTTCCTGCCTGAGCAGGGGGTTGGACTAGATGACCTTCAAGGTCCCTTCCAACTTTACTATTATTATTATTATTATTATTATTATTATTATTATTATTATTATTATTATTATCTAAAGTGTACGTACTAGTATTAGCAGTTAATTAGAAAATAGGGTAGGCTGTAGCAAGAATATGGCTTTCAAAAAGTATGGACTCTTGGATGGTTGGGTTAATAAAATGTTTCTGTTGCAGTTAAATATAGGCACATACATAATTAGTATCCTATAGATATGATACTAAATAGCTCTAACTCATCCTCATTGCTTTCTGCATGCGCTAAGTTATTTACTATTGCTGAATTAATTAGTACATTCATAGTTATGATTAGTTTTCCAAGGCATGTTGTTGTCTATCAGATTTCTTTGTCTCTGTGCATTAACATTTGGCCTGGGGTTCATTCTTTCTTTTCTTTCCTCAATGTGCATTAGAGCATTTATGAAGTTCTAAGATCTTGTATCTTTCATTTTCTTACTACATGCCTTGATTTAGTCCCTAAGCTCTCTCTAGTTTGTTTTTTTCTTTGTATTCCAAATACAAATTTCATGTGTATAATCTTTAAGACTTTACTATTATTGTTCTCCAAATAGTATGAGGCTAATTTAAGAATATTTTTATTTAATATTTCCTCTTATTCTTTTCTTTTCCCTCAGAGGTTTAGTTCCCCATGTCCTAGGTGACCTTATTTTTCTGTGGTGTTGCAACCTTCTGGCTCATTTTATCAACACTTATGCTGTGGATGACAATGTGAGTGATAACTTTCCTAATCTTATTGGGCTCCAAATTTTTTCCCCCAAAGATGCAGTGTGCTGTAGTGAGTAAGACCTCAGGCTGCTCCCAGCTAAGGTGCATGTTCATACCTCAGCCATGAAAATTCATTTTGAACCAGTCATACATCCTCAGTCCAATCCACCTCATATGTGTGATGGTTGTGAGGATAAATAGACATCAACATGTACACTTCCATCCAAGCCTGGGAGAAAGGGATATAAATCTAATAAATAATTCATGATGATATCGAACAAGAAACTGGATTGGAAGAAATCATAATTTCACTAGCTTGAGTATTATTGTACAACAGTCATTTCCTTTTGGCCATTCTTTTTTTTTAATGCTGGCAGCTTTCCCATATTCACTTACTGTTGTTGTTTTTTTACAGGAAGTAAACTAAGTCTAAGAAAAAACAAAATCTATTTCACATTGAAACTAACTAATAATAAAATTTGGTACTTCTAGATATTGATAAGATTCAAATATTAAATGACTAAATTTTATTATACTCAAGTAGGGTCTTCTTCTAATTGATCTCTTAACTTTTTCCCTAATAAAATTATAGCTGCATTGGTTTTTTTCACCTCTTATGAGCCTGAAATGATGCCATTCCTTCTGAGAGTCAGTTACTGATGAGGTTGCTATTGTGCTAAGGCTTCTGCCATGATCTTTGCACATTCCCTAGCATTTATTGTCAAGTGTTTTCCTGTGTTCATTTAACATGTGTGTTGCCATGGACTCCAAGATACCTTGGATTTGGATTATTGTTGTTTTTTCTTACAGTTCAACCAAGCTTCTGTCATTCGGAGCTACACTAAGTTTGTGATGGGGGTATGTAAGATTTGTGCCTTTTGAAATGTGTATAGCTGTATGTTCCTGATCCATTGCTCCTGTCGCTCCTCTCTTCCTAATATCTTGGGAGTGCAGTTTCCAGCCCCATTCTCTGAATTGGGGGGGAAACAGAAGTCTTGGCAGCACTTTTCCAACTAACAAATTTTATTAAAAGGCATAAGCTTTTGTGAGCTGTAGTTCACTTCATCAGATGGTTGAGTGACTTGATACACGTATAATACAAAATGAGATATTGGGAAAGAGAGAGAGAGGAAAACAGGTTGATCACACAGATGAAGGTTTAGATGTGAGACATTACAAATACCTCATCAATTGATAATTGTAATATGTAAAAAAAAACACCATTGTGTTGAGCTCTTTTGAGGCAGCTTGAAAACCTTTTGATCTGTGTGAGTTCAGCAACCTCAGAAAACCCCATCAAACACAAATGGTTACAGGAGGTCGAGCCTTTTCCTTTCAGGCCTCTGGTTGGATGGTTCAGTTCCATGTGATTGGAGATATGACAATGGAGAAATTGACTTCTGTCCCACTCCCCTGCTACCTTATCCAGCCCTGTTAGTCTTGATATCAGGTACCATTGCTGAGCCAGCAAATGGGGAGCAGCTCCATGTAATTGGAGTTCTGGTAGAAAAAGAGTCAGCTCCCCACGCATGCTTCTCTCCTTACCCTTACAAGGCCTAGCAGTCTGGAGATGGCAGATCCCAGCTCTGCCTGCGTCATAAATCACATCATAAATGAGATATCAGTGATCATTTGCATGGCAGGCTTTATATAAAAAGATGGAAAACACTAACCCTGGAATAACTAAAGGCAATATCAGTTTCCATCTCAGTTGGCTGGGAATAAGACAAAAGCAACATCATGATAGCCTCTTTTCAGAACAGTTAGCGAGAAATCTTTGTGCTGCAATTAATGGGAACTGAAGATATATTTCCAGATGTAGATATCAACAGAAAAGTGTAGCTGCGATACTAAGTATTGATAACTCTTTAAGTGCAGGCTTTTTTAAATTTACAATTGTTTCTGTGGTCTGCTGAGTTGGTTATATGTATATTTCTGCATTAATATGTAACCCAATTCTGGTAAAAATAGTTTATAGCTGGTCCTTCCCAATTTCTTCTGTACAAAGCCTTCTTCTACCTCATGTGTGTGTGTGTGTGTGTGTGTGTGTGTGTGTGTGTTTTGCTTAACAATGAAGAATAGAAGGAATGCCTCAGATATTTCTTTGTTACAGATTGCCGTGAGCATGTTGACATACCCTTTTCTTCTTGTGGGTGATCTCATGGCAGTGAACAACTGTGGGTACGTAATATTAATCCCCACCCTTCCATCCAGCAAATACAGCTTAATCTCTCCAGTGAAAATTTAATGGGCAGATAAAAGATTTTAAGTCTTGTTTGAATAAAGAAAACCAGCACTACTTTCCTGTCTTCTTTGTCAAGAAAGAAAAAAGAACTAAAGAGAGAGAACAGACTTTATATTATACGGATAAATTTGGAATCAGTGAAGGAAGAAAATAACTGGTTGTATATGTGTCTGGTTTGTGTTTGGGGAAAACATTATTTTTGTCAACTATATGCATTTTTAGTTTAATAACCATAAAGCATATAGACTTTCTTTGCAAGTATATTTCAAATTTATAAACATTGTCAGTTATCAAATGACAGAAAACTTGATGAAGAATTTCTTATCCTATCAATTTGTGCAAAATCTAGCTACAGAATGCACAAGTAATATATTTTGCAGATAACTTCCTTTTTTTTTTATAATTTATTTTAGAAGTGCAGTCAGAAAAAAGATAAGGGAAGAATAAAAAGAAGAAAAGAGAAAGAGGAAAAATTAATAGAAAGGGAATTTACAGGCCTTATAAAACCAGCTATAACATTTCAAAATTACATGATATAAATCTGCCTGCTTCAGATCAATGTAAAATACTTAGTATTTTAGGTCCGTGTTAAAATTAGTCAATATCAAACTTTGGTCAGCATATAATAATTGACAACTGTATCCAGCACGAGTCAAATTATAAAATAACAGACTGAGATTTGAAAAATTGAAATTTCTGCCTAATCCAGAAAATGAGCAAATCTAGCAGATTGTAGAAACATCTTATGTTAGGAAAAGCACAAACCAGGTTCTTTCTAAGGCAAAAACATGCTTTCTTCTGCAGCAAACATACCTGTTGCCACATACGCCTTACTTTATATTTTCTCTGTCTCAGTACTGGGTCATGTGTATGTTCTCCTTTGTGACAGCTTTCTTTGCTATGTAGGTTACTTGCTGGGCTCCCTCCATATGCCCCTGTGTTTTCTTCTTGGATTCATTGTTGGAGACACCTTAGTGCTCAGGTGAGCATCATTCTTTCTCTGAAGTGGATACTGGCCCATGTAAATAATTCCTTCTGTCTTTCTTTCTTTCTTTCTTTCTTTCTTTCTTTCTTTCTTTCTTTCTTTCTTTCTTTCTTTCTTTCTTTCTTTCTTTCTTTCTTTCTTTCTTTTACTATTCCTTATCTTATTCTGAATTACAAGCACATAAAATCAAGCAGCAGATAAAATGGTCCTCTTGTTTACTGTGAAAAAGATTGCCTTCCCTCAACTTTTATTTTTACATTTTCTTCCTTTAATCTTTAAAAGGTCCTTGAGTCTTTTCTCAGTGAAAGAATACATGGGTTCTTTATATGTGTTATATTAAGTAGGGATTCCCTAGACATGTATAGCTAAGAGGCACAACTAGAAATCTGGCAAAAAAAGATAGGGATCCAGTTTTAAATTTTGCTTTGCTTCTTTTATTGAAAATCAAGACTCTTGTTTTAACTTACCTGTGCATCAAAATATTTTTATAACTTTTTACATATTAATTGGTTCCTGTTTGCCTTCTCTCCTTATACTTTTATACACTTGAGACTATTAGTTGCATTTTTCTAATTATATATATCTCTAGTTTTATTTTAATCCCAACCATCACATCATTATTTGTTTTTATGTTTTATTTTCTATAATGTTTATATTGTCAGTTCAATAGTGTTTTTCAGCATGTATTGAGAAGTGCAAGCAGGAACACTCTATACCTTTATTAACTTTAAAAAAAAAAAGAATTACATCTTCAGAACATATTATTAAATGACAACTTGATTCTTGCAGCTTTGAATTCTGCTCATTCTTTTCTCCCCCCCCCCAAATCATTTGCTTACACATACCCTAATTATATATTGTGCCTAAATAGAGGCGTCAGTCTACCATTTTTTTATGTGTCGTGATAGCGTTCTCCATGCAATAAGATTTCATTCTTGTTTCCTCTCAAAAGTTTATACAAGCAGAAATATTTGAGAATTAAGGTTGTTCGTTGGAAGGAACAGTGTTTCATTTTCATGTCTAGTAATCCTGGACAGATTTTCGCAAGTGAAAACAGATTTTGTGTTGCCTATGTCATTGCGGTGTAGAATAAAACCTATAGAACTATATCACATTATAGGTTAGTCAGTAACTAAGTTAATCATATCCATTGCATGTTGAAGGATATTCTTCTCTATTCCTTGAGAGTTGTAATCATTTATTGATACAGTATATCTGTTCAAAAAAAAACCAAAAAATGACACATTTTAAAATAAACTTTAACAATGTATCTCAATCAGTGTCCAAGGTTTTCTATTCATCAGACATAGCAAGAACTTGAAACTGATTTTATATTCAGTATAAATCTACAAAAAGAAAAGCATTATGGTACATTTGAGAAGTCTCTCATTCTAGTGCTCCAACTCTAGTAACAAAAAAGCAATATATTTTTAAAAATTGAGTTTCTGTAAAACCTTTTAAAAACCACTGTTCAGAACCAAAGAGTTTTTGATTCCTTGTCACTGAATTATGTTCGCTTAATGTCTTATCATAGTGCTACCTAAAAGGATAATAAAGAGTGTTTTAAAAGCTTCTAAATAGCTAGTGTGGAGAATTATTTTGCCCTCATGGAGGCTTTGGGAAGCTTTCATTTGAAATCCTACTAGGAATAGAGAAGAAACAGATCAGACACTAAGACACTAAAATGGGGGGGGGGGGGACCTCCAGGGCTTGCCACTGAAAATAAATGGGTATTCCATGTGAATTGAGTCTCTAGGCAATTTCATTTCTCTGGCTGACATCATCCCATAATAGCATTATATCTGCTTTCTTTCATCAATATTCAAAAAGTTACAACTTTTGTCCCACCCCGCCACATATTTTTTTACACATATATATTCCTATGCCTGCTGAGCCTGAAATTCGCTGCCAGGTATTGTGGTCTCTCTGTCTCTGTGATTATTGCAGTTCTTGGTTGATCAGCAAGAAGTTGCAATGGGTCTTTCTATAACATTTTCCTCTCCATTCTCCAGGGGCAACTCTTCAGAGGTTCCAGCCTACTTTTTCGTAGAGCATCCACACCAGCAACTTTTTTCATTGACTAATTTCATTTGGGAGAAAGAAGCAAACTTAGATCCTTGTAGAAGAAACTCTAAAGCAGCTTGTTTTTACCATTCTGTTTCATTTGTAAAATGAAAGGCTTTCAGCAGTAAGAACAGCTCATTTCAGTAAGCTTGACAACAAAAAGTTCAGATATTTCTGGCCAGATCTTGCCTGCCAGACGAAGGGGACAGTGCTGGTCAGACCTTAGATCAAAGGGGCAGCCCGAATAATGATAACTTTTCAGCTTTTGCATAGTCATGGCTTTGCAGGATATAAGCTCAGTAAGAAGCTGATTTACATTTTCCCCTAAATAAGATCTAAGATGGAATGCAGATTCCCCCCTTTAGTACCATTATAGAAAACAGCTTAAACTTTATCTCTTTATCAGCCTTGGTTTTTGCCATGTTATTAGTCTACATATTCAATCCAACTGATGTTGGAATATCTTTCATTCCTAACATTTAGCAAAACCACAAAAACTCTTAATACTGAATTTTTTAATCATGACATGTATAAACCTGATTGTTTAGTTATTATAATATCTCTAGGCAGCTTATTTTGCATCACCTATTTTTTTAAGTTGAATATTTGACAAAGGCACTAAGCCATTTCACCTGCATTTTGAGTTCTTAAGTAAGACCTTAAACCCTAGGGTAGAATGGATTATTTACATGGATCTATTCAGAAATGTTTTATTTAGTATTGATTATAAATTTAAGCTTGATACAAGGTAGTTCTCGACTTATGACCACAATTGAGACCCAGAATTTCCATTGCTAAGCAAGGAAGTTATTAATTGAGTCGTGCCTAATTCCACGATCTTTTTGCGATGGTTGTTAAATGAATCAGTGCAATTGTTAATTGAATCATGCAATTGTTAATTCATCTTTTTCAGTATTGCTGTAACTTTGAATAATCACTAAACGGATATTTGTAAATCAAGGAATACCGGTATATGTTGTGATTAAGGAAGAATTCTGTGATAATGAAAACTGGGCTACAGAGCCCTTAGTACAAGAAAATGTCATGCAGGTAGGATAGTAGAGTTGTGGTAGTTCTCATGTCATACAGAGACATTCCAAATTTTTTGATATTAAGATTCAGTACAGCTGCAAAAATAATACATCTGACAATAACAATTATCATCCCTGTAAATCAGCATTTTGGGATGATGTCTGACCAAAGGAAAGTAGTAAAGTTTTGTTAGAGACAAGAAAAGTACTTTACTGAATACTTTCAGCAGTATTTCTCATGGTCAGTAATGTTATATAAATATGAAATAATTTTGCACCACATTACTGCTTTTATTTTTGATAAAAGCTTGGTTGGGTAGGGATGTCTACTGCAGATCACTTATTCCAGCTAAGCAGCATTTGTATTGTATTGTGAATGCTTAACTCATTAGATCATAGTTAACTTTTCTAGTATTTACTTCAGAGTGTAAGTTTACTGATTCAAAATTCACTGAATTCAGTTGTAATGGCTTTTGAACAAACCTCTACAAGATTGCACCTTTAATATAGTTTTATTACTGAGCTTTTCCTAATATTTAAACAGTTTAGCCTTACTTACAATTCCTACAATCAAATTACTCATTATATTACTTTTCGCTACAAGGAGACTTGTCAGTGTGAATCCCACTTTTAGCAGCTTTGCAAATAGCATAGCGAGTTTATATTTCTGAGGAAGGAATATCTTTTTTACTAATTAAATATTCTTGCCTGCTGACAAATTATCATATTCAAATTACTTACTCATGTTAATAGTCTTAAATAGAGCCAAAAGAAGACTGAGTACTGTAAATGAAAGTGAGAATTCATATGGCTTCAGTTCTAAATTTTATACAGTTAAATCATGTGTATCACAAAGGTAAGAAAAAACTATTTTCAAATTGCAATCATGCTGGAGATACCACAAAGGGAATATGGGAAATACGCTGCTTTGTCTTTTTGGTGCTACTGTTAAATAACCCAAATTGATGTTGGTCATTGAGAAGCTTAACTAAAGAATGAAAATGTAACATTGGGATTCTGAAGTACACTAATTCATTGTGCAATATTAATACTGAAAATGTTGTTTAGCAATCTGTGTTCCAGCTTTATCTATACACAGAAGAAAATCTTGTTTCCATCTAGTGTTGCTGTAAATAGACTCCGTGACTCCATCCCACTTAACTTTGATGATAGCTTTATGTTTTCTGCATGTGTGTATGTATTACTCAGTAATTCCCAAATGGATCTGAACTGGCTTCAGGAAAGTGTTGAAGTGCTTTCTGGGTCAGGAGCCAAGTGCATTAATTTTGTAACTTTCATACGAGGGCAATTCAGAAATAAACCTCCATTTGGTTATCAATGACAGACACTCGCAGATATAGAACTTTTATTGTACACATTAGAAAACTACATTGCATTACTTTTTCACATAATTGCCATTCAAATTGAGAGACTTGTCATAACGTCTTAAAAGGTTTGAAATTCCTTAGTAGTAGTTGCTCAGCACCAAATCTGAGCTATGGGGGGGGGTGATCAAAAACATCCCAACGGAACTGCTTCAAAGGTTCTTGGGTGCATCTAGTGTGTGGGCGAGGATTACCGTAAACCAATACCACACCAGAAGTGATGCCATAGAAAATCCCACCAAAGGTGAAGATGCCAAAGGAGTACTGCTAGTGAAGTTCATGAAGTGTGGTTCGACCATTAATTCAGAAGTCTACTGTGAAACATTACGAAAATCAGACGAGCCATCCATAACAAGCGCTGGGGCATGCTGACTTCCAGTATGGTGTTGGTTCATGATAATGCTCGCCTGCACACTGCTAGATGCACCCAAGAACTTTTGAAGCAGTTCCATTGGGATGTTTTTGATCACACACACCCATAGCCCAGATTTGGTGCCCAGCGACTAGTACTAAGGAATTTCAAACCCTGTAAGATGTTATGACAAGTGCTTCAATTTGAATGGCGATTATGTTGAAAAGTAATGTAATGTTGTAGTTTTCTAATATGTATGATAAAAGTTCTGTCTCTGTGAGTGTCTGTCATTGATAACCAAACAGAGGTTTATTTCTGAATTGCACTCATACAATGAAGTATGGTATGTCTATTTTGTCATTGTTTTTCTTGGTATTTTCTTTTAACCTGTTCATAATCTCTCACTTTAGAAAAGTTGTAGGAATTCTTTAAAGGGGATGAAATTTGTCTTCCAAATGTAGTGGCCCAGAAGTTTTATTTTATCATCATGATCTTTTGAACAGATATATTTGTCTTGATGATTTGGAGATTACATCTGAAAAACATATTGTGTAAGCATTTGGCAAAATTTCTTGGGGAACGGTTTTTATGGTATCTAGAAACGCAGGTGCTTCCATAGCTTCTGATCTTTGCCAAAATTTTAAAGTTATTTATGTCAAAATAAATGTACAGTTGCAGTAAATTAATTCAAAGCTTACTTGACATCTGTTTGAAAATAAAATGTGAAAATGACCTCAACTATGTTAATACTGCTTGTTAATGTAAATAAGTAAATTAATTCAAACCTTACTTGACATTTGAAAAATAAAATGTGAAAATGACCTCAGTTGTGTTAATGTTGCTTGTTAATCTAAATAGGTTTGTAGTTTTTAATTTTAAATTCAGCTAGTCAAGAAAAAAATTGCATCTTTGAATCTAGATCCTTCTGCCTCTTGTATCAAGCTGAGAATATAAAATCCAGCTCTAATCAGATGAATTGATCTCAAATTAAATATTCATTTTGCTTTATAGTATTGTCCAAAAGCAAGCAAAATGCTGTATTTTAACTTTCCACTCTATTCAAACCATCTTAAGATGGTTCTTGTCTCTTGTCCTGAATTAGATGTCATAGCTGATGGTATTGTTTTAAGATAATGATAAGTGAATTCAGAATATAGGCCAAGAACAAAGTGAAATTTTGAAGGAGTTTTTTTTTCCTAAGTGATAGGATGGGATTTTTTCTCAAATTTTTTAACAAGTAACTTCTAGAATGAAGATTATTTTAAAGAGAATGGTGATATTTGATATCTTGATTCTATTGCAATATTCTTTTAAAATATGGACTGAACAAGTAGGTCCCAATTCTTATTTTATTCATTTATTCATTCTTATCCATGCTATTTTTGGACAGAATTTTAAGTCAAGGTTATTCCTTTTATATAATCTTAAAAATCTCTTAGTGTGCTTTTAGTTTTGTCAAAGTTGTTAATCATAAAATGTGCAAATTGAGCTCAGCCATGATGTAGAGTTATATGAGTTATGAACTACTTATCTTTAAAATATACCAGTTTATTACATACTTACATAGATTAAATGCTTTTATAATTAGGAACACAATTCTATTTATATTTACTCTGAATTAAATTGTATTGACTACAATATGAATTGCTCCTATGAAAGCACATATTCTTATAAGCCAAGTATGAGCTGATAAAATCCCAGTGAAGGCTATACCTGTGTCATGCAATGAGTCATTAACATTAGACAAAATATTGTCTCTTAGCCTCAGTCAGTACCCACTTTTTGAGTCAGAAGAGAAAAGTGACATTTAATGAACAAGGTCACTGTAAGAATGATTAAATGGGGATTACTAATGCTTTATATATGGAAAGCTTTGAATAGTACTATTCCATAAACAGTATTTTTAATATAAATCTGATGGTGGTATTACCCTTATTTAACTGGATGATGATTATCTGAGCAATATTTTAAATTAGACTATACAGGTGATATTTTTCTTTCCTGTGCTGTTTGAGATTTCTTATCAGGCAGCCACCATCTGTCCTTAATTTATCCCTTTAATCTAAAGGCCAATACTGAGTTTTGTTCAGTCCTTGCCTTTTGAAAATAGCCTATTGTCATTACATAACATAAAGGTACTTCGCATCTATTGGGATAACTTCAGACTAATGACAGACTATGACTAGATACAAGGCAGTTTCATATGGCTAGTCTCAATGTTCTCATAATTTTACTGTTCTCAGTAGCATTTGATATGTTTTACAATCTGCTTCAGAGATTATGCATTTGCTTTTTGCCAGACCTTATTCTTGTTTGGTTGAGAGAAGAGGAATATATCAATTTCTGCATTTTTGTGTTCGGTCAGCTGGCAAATTGCTGA